GAGTCAAGTGCTCAGCTGAGGAGTGGGGACTTCAAGGACACTCTGGGGGGTCTCTAGAGGGATACCTGTGGATCTAGACTCACTCCAGAGCAGGCAGGCAAGTCTCCCATCTTGGCCCTGCTGGAGCGTGGGAGTAAAGAGCCAGACGCCCCTGGTCACTAGCTGGCTCGCCGCACTGGGCACGTCATTTGTGCTTCAGTTTGTTCCTGAGATTCCAAAGCAATTGATAACATTATGCACCTCCAGGCATTGTTGTGGGGATTAAATAAACGAATATATGGAAAGCCCTTAGCACAGTGCTATGCTAGGGGTGAGCATTATTATGTGGGTGCTGTGAACATGATACTGTAACATCCTCTAGGGAGGTCTGGGGGAGAGTTCCGGCATACCCAGTGACCCTCTGGCCACTGTTACTCTCCTATATTCAAAAAGGACACGTATCTAGGGCCACCTAATACAAAAGCCTCCAGGGTGAGGCATGCATGGGCTGAACCCTTTCAAAGTCCTGGGGGTCCCCAGATTACCTGTTGCAGGGGGAAGGGTCCCCCAAGGTGCTGAAGCCCGGGCACAATCTGCTCTCCTCTGTAGTCCCGGCCAGCAGTGGGGTTGGGCAGCCATCAGACTTGGTTTCTGTCCTGATCTGACTTCCCTCCTCCCTTCTTTGCCTTTTAACCTTTAATGACACAGGATGGAGGAGCCTGGTTTCTTTCCAACAGGGCTTAAGCTCTTTCTGATTTCAGTTTGATAAGGATGGTTCGGCAAAGGTGGGAAAAGAGAAACTCCCCCCTTCCTCCCCAGGATAAGGGTAAAAGATAACTCAGGAATTTGCAGGCCCCCGGGTGCTGCTAGCAACAAATAATGCAAAACAAACAAAGAAACAAACAAAAACTTCAACATGATAACCCCTCAGTAAAATATAACTTGCTCCTTTGGACCAAAGCAGATGCTCATTACCGGTGTCCACACATTGTACGGTCACCTAGGTTTCTCCTGGGCTCTCTACCATTTGATCAAGCCTTAAACTCCATCCCAGGAGCAGGAGGGGCAGGCCCCTTTTAGATGCTTCAGGGCCAGGGGCAACATTCTAAGCAAAGGAGAAGGGGACCCAAGTGGGGACTTGAGGGGAGGAGTTTGCAGGGCAGAGAGGCTGGAACACAGAACCTGGCCTCGCTGTCACATTTGGGGAGATCTGAAGCTGAAGTCTCCAGACCAAGTTCACTTACTGCAAGAACTTCATGCACACAGCCAAAAGGAGAACCCAGAGACTCACCCAGGAAGGCTGGAGGCTGCCCTAGCTGACCTCCTCTGCCACCCTGCTGGCCAAGGCAGAGGATGGTGGCCACAGGGGCTGTGACTGAGCAGAGACGCCCAGGGATCGTTCTTGCGCTGGCACTGTTGCTTTTCAGATGCATTCAGGCCCCGGGGTGTAGGAACGAGGGGGAAACACCAGGTGTACAGAGCATTTCTTACTGGATAGGTAGGAACTATAAGCCTTCATTCAGGGACACACCCCAAACTGCCCTCGCCGGAGCCCCAAAAGGGAGACCCTTCCTCAGCTTGGGAGGCTGAGTGGAGACCACCGGTTCCCCTGTTCCTGGCGAAGGAAGGCTTTGGATGCCAGCGTTGCCACCTTGGCATGGAGCCCGGAGCCGCAAGCTGGCAGTGCCTGGGGGAGACTCCAATGTACGTTAGTTGGAAGGAAGCCCAAAGCTCCTCAAGGAGGCGCGTTCTAAGCTGGAGCTTCAGGGGCACAGTGAGTGGGAATGTGGGAAACTAATGGCTGAACTTCCTTCCCAAGCACTGTGAGCAAAGAGGGCTGTGTCCAGGCCTCGCGAGCCCCTCTGCACACTGTCGTCCAGTTTCCTGCCCGGAGAGGGCTGGCATGGGCTTAGCCTGCCTGGAGCACCTCGGAAGTACTGGCTAGAGTTGGCCTTTAGGACACTCTGACAGATGACCCCTGAGAGTGTCCTCTGGCTCCAGAATTTGGTTCTTTTCCCCAGGGTCAAGGAAAAGCCTCCAGCATGTAAGTCAGAAGACCTAAGCTGAGCACAGGTCAGCTCTCTCTGCTTCCAGGGCAGAATTGCTCAACCCCTCTCCCTCCGCCCCAGACCTTATCTCTGGCATCAACCCAGCTCCCTGTTCCTCCAAGGGACAGACTCCTCCCTCCCTCCCCACCCTTGCAGGGACAAGCTCCTCTGAGTCTGTGGAACGAGAAGGTCCAGCCAAAGTCTAGAGTTGCTACCCAAGACCAGCCTTGGCCACTCTGGCTTCTGACGCCTCCACTTCCAACCCAAACCAAATGTGGGGTGGGGGTGGGGAGTGAAACAGAGAGGCCACTATCAAACACCTTGCTTGCCACACCTGGGCACAGCCTGTCTTGGCCACAGAAATCAATCAACCATTCCAAAGGTGGAGGGGGTTGGAATCTCTGAACCACAGCCAAACTCGAGCCCTTCTGGAAGAGCTCCTATCTTGTCAGGAAGAATCTAAGATTCCTCTCCCAGGTCAACATTTGCCCACCCCACCCTACCCCAGTTTACAGATGAGACCCTCCTCTGCTTGTGACTCCCTGGCCTCCAGTCCTGAGGCGCTGTCAGTTCTAGAGGCAGCAGGATGGAGGTAGGCTGGGGACACACATCGGATGGGGACAAGCACCGGTAGGTGGGCACATGCAAGAGATAAATAGGGAGGAAAGATGGGTTTAAAAAGAGAGAGAAAAAGGCAGAACCCCCAGAAAATGGAAGAAATGCTCACAGCAGAGGCCTGAGCTATATATAGAGCCTAACATGAGCAATCAGTCCTCACAGCCCCAGGAACTACTGAGGGGCAGAGACTCGCCCCAGGATCACCATCACAGGCTCGCGTTATCACACCGGTCCCTCCTAGTCCCTGCAGGGACCACCAGGACCGCTGGGAAGACTAGGAGAACCCATTTGGGATCTCCCGAGGTTCACTGAGCCCCCCTTGTGGGAAGGAGCAGCCGTCCTCAAGGAGTGGAGAGGCAAAGTCCAAGTTCGGAGGAGATAAACCGCCACACTATTCAGTCACGTGGGTAGCTCACACTGGGCAGCTGATGAGAGCAGGGCACACACATGGCACTCCCACACAGCATGGCCCCAGCTGCCCAGCAGGGATAGGGCCTCACAAGGCCCTGCTGGGTGCCCCATTACTGCCCCAGAGCCCTGGGGCTGCTGGGCCTGGCTCCGTTCCAGCCAACTCCCCAGTTCTGGGAGGAACCCGCAGCTCAGCTCCCTTCCTTTGTGCCCGTTCTTTGTTCTCTTAAAATTCAGTCCATCCTACTGGTGGTCCCTCCTCCACCCCAGCCTCAGAAAGGGGGCGGGGGCTGCGGGGAGTTATTAGAAACCCAGACTGCGCACAGAAGTTGCAGGCAGGGCCCCCGTGACCGGCCCTCATTGTTCACACTCCCTGGACCAGCAGAGCTGTCCCTGGTCCAGATGGCCGCTGGGGGGGGACTCTTCCTCCAGCACCCAGCCCCTCCAGGGAGGGCAGGGACCCTCACAGCAAAGGGACTCCCAGGGACTCTGGGCTGATTCAACTGCTCAGCTCCCCGGGCCAAAAAGGGGCGCTGCCCACCAGGCAAGGATGTTAGGCAGCCAGTCGGACTGCACGAGGTGGGGGCAGTGGAGGGAGAGAAGTTCCAGAGACAAGAAAAGAAAAAGCATTGTGTTTCCCCTGCATTCTCCCAGGGAGAAAAGGAAAACTTCTAAAGCCCAGGCCACAGTCATCGGGCAAACACAAGGAACCTGGTTTGAGTTAGCAGCGAGCACCCCTCCCCCCGCCTCTCCGGGTCTCTCTCTCTCACACACACACACACACACGCACACACACACACACAGACACACACGCACGCACACACACTTCTGTCCTCTCCCAGGAAGCCGGCTCAGCCCCAGGCCTCCAGCTGGGGCTCCTGGTTCCCTCCCGGCTGGGGCACTCACCGGCGGCCGCCCGGCTCCCGGGACAGGCAGGACAGCTCCTGGGGGACGCACGAGGGCCAGGGGGCAGTTTTGTACCCCCGACTGGGGACGCTCCAGGCAGGGGGCGGAGCCCGCAACAGCCGATCTGAGTCCAACCGCCCCGGGGGGTGATTAAATCATTAACCGACCGCTCCCCGTTCGCGGCGCACCGGGCGCGCGGCCCCGCGCGAGGCTGGCTGCCCGGCTCCAAAGAGGCGGTCAGCTCGGCCGGGCCCCACCCCGCCGGGAGGCGCCTGGGCCTCTCGCGGCTGCGGCCTCCAGGTCTTTCGAGGGGGCGGGCGGGGCGGGAGCCTGGCGGGGGAGGGAAGGGCTAGCCGGGTGGGGGGAGAATTGGTTGCTGCGCCCATTCCCGTCCAGGCAGCTTCTTCCCTCCTTTCTCCCCGGCCTGGTGACACTGGGTGGCGTGCGCTGCAGTGTGTGGACGAGAGCGAGAGCGTTTGTACACGCCTCCGCCACTACAGGCGAATAATTCGGTTCTCATCCACGGAGAACTCTGTGCGCACACACGCCCCCCTCGGGGAGACCGCGGGCCGCGCGCCGCCGATGTTGTGCTCCTGCCCACACCGACACACACCCCATTCCTGGGCAGGGGGGTGGCCCTCTACAACCCGCCCCCCAACCACCCCAGCCCCAGCCCCAGCAGCGCCCTTGGCCGGGCCCTGGAGTCCCAGTCTGGGGAAAGGAAAGTGAGTCCCGGCGACCCTGCACCCGGCTCTCGGCCACCCCCTCCTCCCCAAAACCCGCTCTGCTAGGACACCGGGTGTGCGGCACCCGGTCCCAGGCACCCGAGCCGTCCCCACGCGCCCTGGCCCCAGCCCTGCTCCGGGGCGGGCACCGAGGAGCGGGGGTCCCTGAGCCCTTCTCCCCTGCCCGCGGCCCCGCATCCCCGGCTTTTTCTATCCTCTCCGCCCAGTAGGGGGGCTCGAGCCCCCAGCTGAGCCCACCCAGGCCTCGCAGGGCGCAGGCGGCTGTCACGGCCAGAAGCGGGTGCCTGTCGCCTACCTCTGTCCCCAGAGACCCGAGCGCTGGGCGGGCGCGGCTGCGCAACCCCCTCGGTGGGCTCCGCGCGGCGGCAGGGCTGGCGGCCCATGTCAGCGCCGGCGTTTGTCTAGCGCTGGCACTGGGGCTTTCAGGGCTGGCGGCCGCCGGGACACTCCCCTCCCAGGCTCCGCCCGCGCCCGCCCCCGCACCCCTCCGCGCCGGCGTCACCGGGCCGCCGCAGCCAATGGCCTGCGGGAGCCTCGTCCCGGCCGCTAGGCCTCCCGCGTTCAAATCCGAAAGCCAGAGACTCAGAGCTCCTCGTGGGACGGCTGGGCCCGCCCGCCTTCCAGGCACCCCCTCCCGCAGCCTGCGCTCCGGCCGCGAACCCCCTCTGGGGTCCCCAGGGCCAAGGGCGCGTCCCCCTCCCGGGCCTGGCTCAGGCTCTCTTAAGGTTCTTCCCCATTCCGCGCAACTACGAGAAACCAGCCTGGGTGGCGGTTCTCGTTCCTGTTCCTCCCGGGCTTGCTAATCACCTCCTGGCCCCAGTACTGACCCAGATGGGAGCAGGAGGCCGGGCGCCACCAGATTCGCGGATTCCATCCCTCACTTACTGGAGACGAGAGGGGGCGGGGAGGAGCCGGCCCCTACCAGGGCCTGGCCTGGGCCTGGGTGTGAGAAAGGTTTCCGCAGGGTGACCTGTCTTTGATCGCCCTGCGGTCCTTAGTCTGCGGCCTTTGCCTCCAAAGCATCCGCTGAGGCTAAATTTTGCTCCAAGCGAACGTCCAGGGAGATTAACTCCTGAGTCCCAGGCCTCGGGCTCTGTTCTTTTTAGAGGAATAGTTTCCAGTTGTAAATGATCTTTGCAAGTGATAAATGCCCCCAGTGAGATGGCAACAAAGGAGACAACAAAAGGAAAATGGACACAAAGTGAATGTTCCCCTGCCATTAGCAACCCCCCTCATTTTTAAAGGGAAGGCTTCAGATTCTTTTATGCCAGTGGCCCCGAGGTCCCTCAGCCCCCTGGGAACAGTGTGCTTTCCATGGACTCCATGGCCCTGTTTCCCTCTGCCAGTGAGAGCAGCCACCTCTTGAGATCTAATGGGGGTGCGGCCACTCTGTCCTGCCGTGGAAATCAAACCCAGAGCTAGACACCTGGACCAGAAAGTTGGGGTTCAGAGCAACTTGGGAAGCAGACACATGAGTTCAATCTCTGGCTGGGTTGCCATGGGGAAGGCACTCACCGCCACCTCCCCAACCCTCCGGAGCCTGGCTCTCCTTGTGCGTCCAAGAAGCGTGGGGTCCCCCTGCCAGCAGCATCTGGAGGTTGTGGAGAGGACTGAGACATTAGGTGGGAAAGGGCTCTGTGACTATAAAGCAGCCGCGGTGGAGTAGACTGTTGTGATTTGGGGGCAAAGGTGTCCTCAGAAGAAATAGGAGCTGCAACAGGACTCTGGGAAAGGTTGATTGGAAAGAGGTTTGGAAGCACCTCTGGCTTGGAATTCCAGCTGCGCCATGTATGAACTGACAAGTTATCCACCAGGTGCCCCACCTGTAGAATGACACAGTCCCCGCCTTCCCCCACTGGGGTGAGTGTTAAATGAGATCACCTAGAGAAGGCACCTGGCCATTCACTGGGCACCTGTGGCCCCCAGCAGGTCCCTACCCACTGGTACTCCCCTCATTGGTCCCAGGCGGATGCCCTCCCCATTCCTGGCGTTCCAGGACCTTTTCCTCCTGAAATCCCAGCTTCAGTCTTATCTGTTCCAAGAAAAGCATTCCTGGTTTTCTCTGAGACATCTCCCTCTTTCCCATCTCCTTTTCCATTTCAAATGAATTATTGTTTTCTTAGAGCTAGCTGTTAAGAATTTGTTTTCCTTTTTGCAAGTGTTCAGATGCCATATCGATTAAAAATGCCTCCAGGAGAGTCTTTAGGTCCCTTTGTAATTCTTCTGCTCCTTATCCAAATGCAGGCTCCTTCCACAAACATTTAAGGTTACTGGAGATTTGCCTTTGGTGACAGAGATAGTAAAGCCCTATCTCTGCCCTCAGGATGTCCACAGTAGCAACAGCTTGCCGAAGGAAGAAGCTCAGTAGATGCTTCTAGCCTGCAGCCTAGCACTCTGGGGGAGCCCTGATTAAAAGGAAGTGCTAATTTTCCTTGATGTTTGGAACCTCAGACCTGTGAATTTCTTTCCCCCACTGAAGCTAAGTTTTGCTCCAACCTTTTAGGCTAGAGCTGTTTATGGGCAATGAGAAGAAATTAACAAGATAAAAAACTTGAGGCTCACATACCTACCTTGAAATTTCTGACAAGCTCTAAGCCCCTGACTTCAGGGAGGGATTTGAGGTCTTAACTGCACCCTTGGTGTAACTTGACCTATAAGCCTTTAGGCCTAGGCGTGTGTCTCTGCCTGTCTGGGGCCGCTGGGGCCTGCCTCTGGGACTTGGGCAGGCATGATGCTTGCAGCTACTCCGCGTGGCCCCTCCCTAATGTACATCCCCCCCCCACACACACACACATATCTCCCTGTGTTTGTTAACATTGGGTTCTGGGCATTTAGTTCACAGTATTTCGTCCCAGCCCTTTGAGGTTGGTTAAAAGGATGGTTAATCCTATTTTCTTGCAGAGAAGTTCGAAACCCTGCTTATTCTAGTCTGGTCTTTGCCATAAAGTGTGACTCTGGGCAGGTCATTTGCCTTTCTGAAATAAGCTGAGCTCCAAGACCACTTCCCACGAGAACACTCTATGACTTCTCATCACTGTCCTGAGTTCCCCTTCCCTCTACTGAGGTGAGACATCAAGTCCTGGACTGGTCACCTCAAGGTGTCACCAGGGCTTGATGTCAGCACAGTTTGGGGTGGGGCCTTGGTGACCCAAGTCAGGAGCCATCAGCTGGGGGCGTGGCCCTGGGCTATCCTCTCCCAGGCAAACTGGATAGAGGCTCTTTCACTCCTTACTTCCCTGTTCTCGGGAACCACCTGGACCCCTTTCACGGGGCTGGGCCAACCTCTGCTGAGCAGCTGGGAAACTCCTGAGGTCACCAAGCTGCTGGCAGAGTGCCTGGAGCTCAGGGCAAGACCCAACTCACCACCGTGGGGAAAAGTACCTGCGTCTAGGGGCTCTTTTGCACCAGGTTTCAAGTGCATAACTCCAGTCCTCTGAGGGACCTAACACACATCAGGGCGCTGGGGCGGCTGGTGCACACTGGAGAATAAGGTAACAGGTTTTCCCCTTGGGCTCCTTGGGGACAGGATGATGTTCAATTCGTGCTGGAATCTCCTGTGTGGATGGCCACACCGTGTATTTGCTAGAAGAATGAATGAGCAGAGTGCACAGTCCACGCCCCTCCATTTTTCCATTTGCAACCCCAGCCTGGGACTGAGCTCCGTTTGGCCACTTCCTCCATGAGATGAGTTTTGCTGGCCTTCTGCAGGGTCGCACATCCTCCTAGACTGGCAACTCAGGAGGTGAGGGAGGATGTTGCATCTCAGAGGACCCCTGGCCCAGAGAGACGCTGGCCACTAGGATGGAGGCTCTCTGGGGGTAGAAGGTGACAGTAGGGTTGAGCTGGGCCCAAAGGAGAGATGAGGTGGGTGAAGGGGTGGGAGCAGAGCAGAGATGTCATGGAATTTACCGGACATGAGTCCAGATGTGGGGATCAGAATACCTGGGTTGTGTTTACTAGTTGTGTGACCTCAGGGGAGTCACTTGGTCCCTTTGAGTCTTGTCTGTAAGGAGGGCACAGTAGCAATTCAGACCACAGGAGGTTAGTGTAAGGACTGGAGGAGACGGAGCTGTGGTCTTGCTTTAGGAGCCGTCGAGTCCAACAGAAGACCCGGGTTATTGTTGTCGCTAAATCAAGCTTTAGGCTTCTGGGCACCGTGGCTCCTCCATCTCTCTGCCAGGGAAAGAGCGCAGGCCTCCCCACACCCCGCTTGGTAGTTCTGCCTGTCACTGTGCATTGTCATGTTATTAACAGGCTGCCCTGGCCACTGATCTGGGACATTTCCAGGAAAGCAGAAGATGATATTAAATTTCTTGTTTATCCAGGAGGGAAAAAAGAGTGGATAAGAAAGATGCAGCCAAAGCTCTGGGCTCCTGAGAACATCAGCGTAGACTTCCACGGACGGCAGGGACAGTAAATCTGCAAGCAGGGCCCCTGGAAGGAACGTTCCATGTGATCCCTAGATTTCCAAGGCCCAGAGCTTCACTGGCCAGTGACCCTGGGAAAAGTGGGAGAGCCCAGCCATGCTCTGAGGCAGAGGTTCCTCTTGGTGCTCCAGGGCCTGCAAGTCTGGATTCGGAACACGGCCCCAGGGCGCAGATGGTCCTGGGTTCAAATCCCAGCTGTCACTGTGTGACCTGAGAGAAGTCACTTGAGCTCCTTCAGGCTCAGTTTTCTTGTCTGTACAACAGGGACCACGTGGGAACCCACCTCCCGGTGCTGGCGTAAGGCTGGTGGATGATGCAGGTCCGAGCTCAGCACTGACCTAGGGCCACACGGAGGGTTCACCAAAGTCAAGGGCCCAAGGTAGACCTTCTGGAGCAAGCTTGGTCCTGAGCATCCATCCTCTCCACAGGGCGGGTCCCTCCCTGTGAGCGTTTCCCAGAATTGAGCTAACGGGGAAGATGAACAGCATTATCTGCCAGAGGCAGCCCTGGACTTCTGATAGAGCTCTCGTGTCAGGCTCTGGTGGCTCACCTAGAGGGCCGTGCCTTATGTCTTTGTCTCAGGGGAGGAGTGGGCTCTGCTGGGGAGCAACCCGTGATGGCCAGAACCCCCTCCTGGGCCTCCAGAGAGATGGAAAGAAAAGGGAGTAGGAGGAAGGAAAGTGCTTCTGTTTGTAGCGTTTTCCCGAGAGCCCAGCTCAGTGGTACATGTGACTTAAATAAGGCACACTTAGGTAAGGCAGGGCCACTAGTGGAGTACTATATTTACTCACTGAGCACTCTACTGTGTGTTAGGACTTCTACATCTCAAGCCTACAAAGTAGTTGTTATTACTGTTCCCTTTTTTCCAGATAAAAAACAGCAAAGACTAACTTGCCCAAGATTACCCAGCTAATAAGGCCGGATCCTGGGTTAGAAACACCTAGATGATCAGGATCCTGCCAGAAAACCACAAGACGGCAGGAAGGAAAGATGCCAGCAGACTCATGACTAGTCTTGTTACTATGCCGGGCCGTGGCGGGCAGGGGGAGGTTGCCAGGGG